AAAAAAAATCAAATTTTTCATTTTTACGAACGTTACAGGGTGCTCAGAAATGTAAATTTTGCTCCTTTAAATTTTTCTGAAATTTTGATTAAGCGGTCCGGAAAAACCGTTCGATAGATCGATCTGCCAATTTACGGAGCTTTTGGGGGTACATCGAGGTGTAAAAATTCGTACAAGCATTAGACTCTCCATCGATATTAGCAAAGATGCGGTCGACTTGGCAAAACAAGTGAAAAAGTCACTTTTTTCACTTTTTTCAAGTTAATGTCGAGGATGAAAGAAATTTTTTTTCTTCAAAGAACGCTACATAGCCTTGTAGGGAATTTATTCGAGATTTCGAAACTGCCCGTCAATTTTCTGTCTGATCATTAGTTGCTGAGATATCGATGGTTAAAGCCAAAAGGATGCTTTTATATTCGTAGTCGAATATCTCCGGGTCAAATTAACGTAGAGAAAAATTTAAAAAAAGAAATTAAAGCTGAATGAACAGGCTGTTAAGTCCATATCATGATTTTTGTGTAAAAAATGTTTTCCAGCCCGTGGACCGAGAAAAAAAACGCAAAAAAATAAAAAAAAAATTTAGTCTTATTTCTTAGAATTTCGCGATGACTGTCGCTCCTAAAAATTTTGAGCTACGAAATCTGGAAACTAGACATTCGGCGCTTTAAAATGCTTTTTTTAAAATCTTGATACGATCATTTTTAACTGAGATACAGCATTCTGAAAAATCACTAAAAATTCGAAAAATTTTTTTGCTCTCTTAATTTTTTGCAGAAGTTTATATAAATACTTACATTTAAAACAGTGATATAATATATATATGTTTTGAAGTAGCAGTACCCTTGCATTTGCGTATTTGCAACTTCTGTTACAATTGTTTGAACAATTTATTTATGCAAAAATTATGATGAAGCCATTGGCATACAATATATGTTTTGAAATTATTGAAAATAATTTAAAAGCGCATTTGTTACAAATACAACTTTAAGATTGCCTGTTATAAACATGAATAAAACCACATACAAATTTACACACCGAAAAGAAAAAAGAGACAATGAAAGAAGATGTTTCGATGGCCAGCTAGAATCGCGAAGCGGTAATTTTTATTTTAAAATAAAAATAATTCAAAATTTTTCAAAAAATATGCAAATTTTTTTATTGATTTTTTAATAATTTTTTGGATTTTGAAAAAATTTTACTTATGTACTTGTGAAAAAAAAAGTATGTCAGTGATATGAATCCTGAGAACAGACCACTTTTTTATAGGACAGTACACAGGTTATATTCCACTTACACTCAAAGTATTAATTATTATTCTTTGTAAAATGTATTGTAAATTATGCCAACATTAGTTCTCCTTAACATTCCTTTGAGTTCGGCTATCGCATTCATTAGTAATTTACTAACAAGCCCCAAATTAATTAGATTGAAGCCATTGGAGACGCCTGATAGTTGCCTTTAGTGAACATACTTATGGTTCAGTCAGGTCCCTTCTAATTGAAGTTTGTTATGTAGTTTATAGCGCTGTTTGGGATACCCAATGTGATTATATGTATACATATATTGACCCTGTGTACGGTTATTACTGAAATTACGACTTCTCTACAGGCAGTGGTAATTGAGAGCAGCAGCAGTTAGTGAGAAGTTAATTATAACGAACTTAACGAGAAATGGGCGCCCATTTGTGAATTCAGACGAGCAAGAATGAAATTTATGTGGCAAAAGAAAATGCGACGGAGGAAAAAACATAGATCAACCGTTTTTGTTGAGAAGAATTAAGGAATTTAATTCTTTTTATCAATACAGGAGAAACGGTAGAAAAAAATGTAGCACGAATAACAATATTTATTGACTTTAATTAATTTTTTATTATTAATTTATTTTTTAACATCTTCGCTCTTACTGGTGTGATGTATAATGTAAAATAAATCTGTTTTGGAGCCCTTTAATTAAAAATTTGTTGACATCATGACACGTTGACTTGAAAGGTCTTATAGAAAAGAAATGCAAACAATTCAACGCAAATAAATAAATAATTAAATAAATAAATTGATACAGGGGCAATCAATTTTCACATGGCCACCTAGTACTCTATTTTCTTTTTTGACCCATTGAACAGCGTCAGCGACCACCACTTACCCTGCGATTCCGCCTGACTCCATGTGGTTGGCGAGAGTAACATCGTCGCTCCACACGTCGAACTGCCACTTTCTCAATCCCAGTACCCCACACAATACGTTTCCTGTATGGATCCCTATCCGCATATCCACGTTGAAGCCCGTCGCTTCTCTTACAAACCTGAAACAGAGATTATCGTCTTTATATGCGAAGGAATCCACGAGCGTTGCTTAAGATACGTCCGGTAACTCCCGGCGCTTTCTTAGGAATTAAAATAATTTGAAATTAACATGGGAATGAGGGAGGTTATTATTTAATTTTTCGGTAATTTTGTCCAGGTAAAAAGAAAATGTGTTCTGTGTCAGTATGTAGTATACAACAGATTGTTTTTATCTCTATATCTCTCTTTTTCAAAAAACACTTTTTGGTTTAAAAATCAAAACCTCAAAAAAACTAAAAAAGTATTATTTTAATATATTTTTTATATACAAAAATATGAAAAAAAAGTTTATATTTGAAAATTTTTTACCCAAAATATTCAAATGGTCATAACTTCATAAAAATTTGAAAAAAATCATGAAAGCTACTCTAAATGGGTACTAAATAATACCAAAAATGGAAAACCTCATATGTGCATATATAATTCGCACAGTGACGTTTAAACATATGAGGGGTATAGATGCAAAACTCACATTATCCACTTTTTTAAATTTTTCAGGAAGAAGAAATAACTGATTTCTCACTTTTTAAGTGACTTAAGGCTTTGAAATTTTTTTTGGTATTGTATTAGAACTTTAAATTTGCTTCTTAATTGGTGAAATGACAGCACAACAATATTTGACTCCAAGAAAGTGAATTAAACTTTGGATAATGTGAGTTTTGATACAACTTTTTGGATAATAGTAGATTTGCTCCAAATTATTCTACATAATATTATTTTTTACACCAAAATTCATGAAGTTAATTAAAGGAACTTTGAAACAAACTCAATATCAATAAAGCTTTTATGTAATACAGTAGTTCATAATCAAAATAAAAAGCTGCACAAAATACTTGGAATACAGTTTTATTATCAGTGATGAAGTGAAATATTTTTATAATGAATCTAAAATTGCAAAGTACAAAAAATGTTTACAGTAAAAAGTTCTAATATCCGATAGTTAAATATAAAACTTCAGAACTAAACTTATCTTACTTATAATCAGAAACAATACGAGAAGCAAAACTCACATTATTCGTAGGCAGTCGGCCATATTGGTTTATCGCTTTAAGCTTTTTCTATCCCTATCTAAAAAAATTGTAACGCAGTTACCAGATGAGCATTGTTCGTATATGTTGTGTTTTAAAAAATAAATACTATCGTAATTTAATATTTGTAGATATTAATAATTTTATCTGACAGTACCAGCATTTTATAATTTACTCCATGAATCAGTGTTAAATTACCGACGCGTGAAATTTAACAAATTCTGCGATGTAGCAGTAATTTATTTATTTTACATGTTACCACGCTTGTTGTTATAAAATTTATTTTGAATGTGAAAAATGTGTCATATTAAACAGTGACAAATATCATTGGAATATTTTCCAGTGTTAATGACAACGCAAGCTTATTTTTATAGACCACAAGCCCATCGGAAATTTTAAAGGGGTCATTTGACCCAGCATGAATTACTTATAAATCAATACTACCACATATAACAATAACTTTGGAAACTATAACTTTTTTAGTCACGCCGTACGTATTTGTACAGCCTATATACTTTAGAAATGTAGTATTGATTCATCATGCTGGGTCAAATGACGAAATGACCCCTTGAAAATTTCCGATGGGCTTGTAGTCCATTATTAGTGTTAAATTAATATAACTGAAGCCTTTTTATGAACATATGTACCACCATTTCTTTTGTAATTTCTTTGTAAACTGCTATTCCTAGTGAAACTCAATCAACATATTTAGTTTTTAATGAAGCTTTAAGGATTTGCCTTCAAAACTTGTAAAAAATTAAGCGTAACTTTTTTTGTCTCATCATAGTGTCACATTCTTTACAAAATCGGTAAATATATCCACTGTAATCTTACAATCTACACCATCTTACAAACCCTGTACTGGATCAGAGGCAGAATTAACAGGGCTTACTAAAGTAACAAATGGGCATGGTTAAGTTAGTGACTGTATGCAAGTTATATTCGAAGTGACAGCCGCCAGACATAATGAATATTGATTAATGTGCATTCAATAACTGCCCGTGCATGTTACAATTGAATAATGGCGCCCCTGGTGAAAATGATTAATGAGTTATTGCCTAATACGAAGTGATATTTCAACTTGTTAAGTCCTGGTAACTCTTGCGATAACTTCATTAATTAATATTGGATTAATATTGATTGTCCAACTTCCTGATATTCCGGAATAGTCCGCCGCTAAGTTCGGACGGAAAAATAAAACGTCGAACAATAGGTGGAAACTAAAATTTGTACAGGCTATGTAGTGTCTCAACAGCCAAACCTCAACAATACTTTCTTCCAGTTCGATCGTTTATTTAAGCCTTTCATTGGTATAAATTTAACACAAAAAGCCTTTTATTCCCTAACAACTGCATAACAATATCGTATTTAAAATTTCAACTTAAATTAATAAAACATTAAACAACGAATCAAACTTTTCAACACATTAAAAATGTAAATATATTTAAAACATACAAACAAAATTAGTTTGTCTTGAATTCCACTATTTTCTCATTAAAATATCAGTATATATTCATAAAAAGATAATAATAACAGTCAATTACTTAATGTCTAAGAACCATTAGTGTTGATTTTGAATATCAAAAGACAAGAATGACAAGAATAAATGTCTCAAATTACTGTAATACTAGGACCTCGTTCTTACCATTTTCATATAAAGACAAATTATTCAAATTTAATTCATATGTCGTTTAAACTTATATTAAGAAAAGTTCACCTTCAAACATAGGTAGTGCAGCTGTCTTGAGTAAATCGATCTTCGTACTTTATAACACAAAGTAGGTAATGCAGATTTTTTTAACAACAGCACAATTGTTCTATCAGTTATCGGTTAATTTATGAGCTTTGGGCATTGCAAGCGGACAAAGGCGCGTATTATACAGGGTATATATACAAACACACAGGATGTTGTATTTAAAAGTTCAATTTTTTTATGTACTTGTTTGGCATTTCGAGAAAATTTATTAAGACGTATTTACAATTTTTTTTCTAAACAAAAACGTAAAAAAGATAAAGGTGGTAGAAATTTTGTCAATAATTCAATATATCAGTACAATAAAGTATGCTGTTTTTTCTTGTGGTATTTGAGTACAAACTAATAGTTATATTATGTTTAAAAATTTGTCTTTAGTGTATATTCGTATAAGTAAATATTTCAATATTTACTTATACTTAAAGTTTAGTTTGATCTGGGCGCAACAGTAACATGTTTTTTTTTCTAAATCCAGGTCGTTTATCAACATTTCCGAAAAGAATACCTTCAGTCGTTCATGATAGAGGGTTAAAATCTAAATTTTTAAGAAAAAAAATTATGTCGAGGTGTCTATGAGAAACTGACACTGAATATATTCTATAGGTTGATATAAGTCGCTAATAGGCAAACATTATTCAAAATTTAGTGCCAATCTTTCAACTGGTGTGGAAGAAATTTAAAAAAGTTTTCAATAAGTCTTCTAGTCACTCAATCCGTTAGAATAGACTTCTTGTTATATTATTTTTGTTAGTTTTAATCGAGGAACACCCTATAGAAGTTAACTCGAACTAAGGGGTGCCCTGTATATATTTGTTAAAAAAAACGCACTCAAAGATAATTAGTTAAAGCTATCGGTAGCCGATGTAAAATTGCCAACATTTTAAAGTTTTATATTACTAGTTTTATGAAAACATTTACTACCAGGTGCTTTATATACCGTGGTAAATATTGCTTGCCGGCCTTGTGAAGATAATAGTGCTGTTTTCGCTTGGATCCGTGTGTATAATATATATTTCGTAGAGTGAGATTTTTCTCAATAATAAGTGTATTATTTTTATCTGCGCTCGCGAGACGACGGGGTGATTGTGCAACAATATATATTTTTAAAAAGCTAGACTACAATTATTTTGTTTTAAACAAATAGTGATTAGCAGTTACACATCTTGAATAAGTAAGTACATAATTTCTGTTCATATTCTATGATTTTTAATACCAGTTTTCCTATATATAAAAACGCAGTTTAAACATAAAATATTCTAGCAATTATTAGAGGTTTTAAATGTATTGCTAATTTCAGTGCATAAACTTTTTTGTGAAAGTGAAGAATACTTAGTACCCGATGCGATTTATTTTCAGTATTACCAATATTACGTTTGTAACAGACACTTTGTTGAATATGTATTCGTCTCTTGATTGATAATGTAACCCATTAGAACTATTGTTAATTTAACGATAGATAGATATCTATATCCCAAGGCGGAATCTGTAATTGGAAATGGTGACAGCAAGTTACAGAGCAATGTGTAACTGGACGTATCCGCAGATAATATCCTGGTTGGATTACCATGTACCGTGTAATCATGTAATGAACTGATCTGGCAAAAAATTTATTGTCCAGCAAAGTAACGATCATACGGGAAAACTTTTTGTTTAAAAAACACATGACTTAGCTAATGGACATGTCAAGTGGCGTGCACAAAACTAATATGTGTTCCTGTATCTCTAAATTCGACATTTAAAACTTTTTTAAACTTTCAAAGGATGTAACAAATTTTTCCTCATTTCGTTCGTGTGTATTCGTTCGTATAACAAATTCTTCAATTTCGTGCTAATGCATTAGCTTTCTAGTAAAATTTTTATTTTTTAATTTGTGTTAATTGTTTTAATACTTATATTTGTTTTACAACTAAAATGCATTATTAGAAGTGTATCATTAAACACAATGCAAGGTTTATGTAGTTTCAATAATTTATTCCAAAATTCTCACACTAGAAAAAAGCAGACAAACACAAAACACACATAACTATTTTATATTTATCTGTGAGATTTTTTATTAGGCAAAACTATTTTCGTAAAAATTAAGGAGTTTTTAAATTTTCTTCCCAGCTGACAAAATACCAATAAATAAAGAAAAAAAATCGAAAATTGCAATTGACTTCAGACAATAAGAATGTTACGTAAGTTTTGGTTGGAATTTCTTTGAATTAAACTGTAACGTCAAGCATTTTAGAATATCGATGGTTCCCTATAGATGCATAGAAGCGTACAGTATGATATAGTGTGTCACATCAGTATATATACCATGAAAATGTATGAAAAATGTATCGAAAATGTATATATGCGGAAGTACAGTGCACGAATGTTATATTGCGCGTCCGCATATTAATTTTTCACACGTATATAAATGTTAAATTGTATGTACCTACATAACTTTATTTTTTATGTAGGATAATAGCATTCAAAAGAACATATTGCCATTAAATAGAAATATAAACGATTATATTCTTTTTTTTCACAGTGACTTCACAGGAAAGTATAATATGCCAATAATATTTCAAAATTTAATCCAAATAACTAGTTTTTTAATAAAAATTATTTGCAACTATTCTTTTTAAAGCACTGCGGTTAGTTTGTGAATCACAGTATCAATGACGTCTGACACTGACCAAGTTCACAAATTCCAACGGAGTAAAAAAGCCACTGCGTGAAGTTACCTTAACAACACGAAATGTTAAAGGGTGAAGAAAATAAACTCTCGTGCTTTACTTACTGTTAAAAACAAGTAAAATTAAAACCGTCTAGACTATAATTTTTAATTATGTGCATGTATCCTGCTCGCGGTAACACAACTTCGTGTTGTAGCCACCGTGTGGCCCGAGTAACAGAGTTAGATAAAACATGATAGCGCTCACGTAATTGATCGAGAACATGCAAATGTAACATCGATACTGACCTTATGGCTTCAATCATCTGGAGGCCCATGTTGACGCAGTTGTAAGCGTGATTTGGCCTTGACACTGGCAACCCTGAAACGCAGTAGTAACAGTCCCCCAGGATCTTTATCCTCATGCATTGATTATCCTGAAATGGAATTTAGGATGAAACAATGGAATTAAGCGCGTCATTTTCTTGAAAGGGGAAATATTTTAAACATTTAATATACGAACCATTTATGACGTCATGACTAAATAATGATAATGTCATAATTATAATACAGACTGATTTAAACATGTGTAAGTAACTTTATCTCTCTCCTCTATTAAGACAGCTGTTACTTTATTTATTTACAGCGAAATGTATACAAAGAATGAACTTAGGCGACGATTATCAGTTTGTCAGAATAAACTAAATAGTTATAAACTGAACCATAAAATGTTTCCTATATTCAGGATACATTTTATATAAAATATTCAAAAATATCTACTGCTAGTCTGAGTTCAACTTAATAAAATATATGAGATAGACACATATCGCATATTTGTTCAAAGAAACTGTAGCTTGCTGAGAGAATTTTTATTCAAATACAACCGAAAACCTGCAGTAGCCAGAATCTGTTTATTTTTCGCAAAACTTAAACGTATAATGCTGTATAAACGAAAGGATATTCCATACGGATAAAAACTGTTTGGTGTCCTTTGATGTGCCTATTTCAAAGGATTCAATTAAAAGTTATTTCCTTTTAATTTTCATGCACATTAAACAGCTTTTAAAAATGGGAAGTTATATATGATAAGGAAATGAAGACGAATGACATTTTTCGATTAGAAATTATTACTAACACAGCACAAGACAAAGAAAAGTTAATAACTTTTCATACGCTCCATAACCAACTAACATAATATTTAATATCGAGCAAGAACATAGAGTTATGTTCTTAAATTAGTTTTGACAAGTGTCTAAAACTTTTATATCTACCACATACAAAATAGCTATCGCCCCAGACCGCTACTGGAATAGGCCAGTAGTTTTCGAATTGCCGATGCCGACGCACAAATTTAAAAACATTCATTTCAAGTTTTTCAATTCTCCCATTCCAAGGTGTTAAAAAATAAATAATTAATTAGGTAAATTCATAGTTTTAATTCTAACTTGATTTATTTCATTTAGCATTTAACACAAATGTGATTTCCAAACAAAAGATAAGTTCCATATCTCTTTAATTACATAATTGATTGCATTAAATTTATTTGGCAGTTATTATTTGACAACAAAGCCACCGCTAGAACTGTCGCCAAGTAGAAGAATTACCACCCTAAATTTTATTGCTGTATACCGGCTGACAAAAGCCTGCATCCTTTACGGGTTGCGAATTTAAAGCATTTAACACGCAGTTTGTGGCGATAAGCTATATTGTCTGTGTACCTACTATGACACTTTTGAATGTTTTGTGTTAGATAATTTTGATAAAACCATTTGAAAAACATTTTTCGTTCCACACATGTACAAGAGATTTTTACTGTAACAACGATTCTATTTTTAACTTCCAATAATCCGAATTATGGTTCAAAACCAGCCTGACGTCTAATTTATGGAAATCGAGAGCCCTCAATCAGTAATTCGAGGGCAAATATTGCCTCGCAGAAGTTATCAAAATGACACTTGAGCTTAATGAGGAACAGACCCAGTCACAAAAGCTTCAAGTCCTGAACATGTTAAACCGAATTGCTTACTTGAGCGATTTGATCGAATCTTCCGAACAACTCGTTGAGGGTTTTCACGAGGTCAGATGCCGACAATTGCTCCGAGAGGGGCGTGAAGTTCACTATGTCCGCGTAGAGGATGGACACGTTGTTGTGGCGCTGCACGTACATCTCGTGAAAACTTTGGTTGGAATGTTCTTTGCAGGCATCCGCCATCTTCAGCATTATACTTCGTTTAACCTGAAAAAAAAATAATACAATAAATTTACGGAATATTTCAACATACAGAATAATAATAATAATAATAGGCCGCCCCCTCTCCGCACAAGTCTGCCACATATCATGCGGTTAATATATCTGATTAAAATTAAGTGTCAAAATATAATTATTTATATTATTATCGCTACTTTTTATCTACGTCTTCAGAAAATATAAGAAATCTCACTAAAAATTAAAAATATGTCTATTATTACACTAAAAATTATTGTAGAATATAGACCCGTCTCATTTAAGAGAAATGTCTTGATAAATTTAAATATGGTGTTTTTTTTTAATTTTAAACGCAAATTATTTCAAAGGGTGATTCCTTCATTAAAAAGAAGGTGCCACAGGATTTGAATATTCCATTCGATATTTAATAAGAGGCACTGAAAAGAAATTAATTTCAAAATCTGAATATCTAGTCTTCTGCGGACCAGTGCTTTTTCCCATTGAGTCATTGAAATTGAGTTCCAAGTTCGGAGAAAAGTATAACGTAATTTGAAACAAGAAAAATTAATTTCACTATAGTAATGAAATGTATTTGGTTCCAATAAAGATAATTTCATCCTCGATGAGAGGTAGCTTGCGTTGAAAAGGCAGCTTAGTTATCAAAATTTAACGAGGAACACCTACATTGTTTTTACCTTCTCGAAACATGGATGAAAATCAGTAATTAAAATTATCTTTGGATTCTGTTATAGTTTTATTATATTAAAAGGAGCAATTGAATATTTCCTCAAATATGCTCATTCCAAACAATGTGAATGAAAACTTAAATCAGTAAACACTGAAACTTAAATAAATGAATAACAGTTTCCTTAGCCGTCCAAGGAATGAGACGTATTAAATTGCATGAACGAAGAACGTATCGCATAGCGAAAATGATATAATACCCTTCAAGATACGTCTTCGCCACATATGTATAGAAGTAGCACATTATCATTCCTAATACATCCAACTCACAGGGTTGAGAAATTGAGTCGGCACAATCCGCAGAACGAGGCATATTTCTATTTGACATAATTTAATTCAATGGTGCACAGCGCGTAGCAGTTCCACAACTTTTAATTGAAAATGTTGCTTAGAATAATCTACTTATATCGAAGCAAAATAACCAAGTTAGTTTCGACTTTCCGAACAGCGTTTTTAATTTAAGATCGTCTCGCAATAATAAAAAGTTACCGCGGACCAATCTAAACTTTGATAAGCGTTCGATTAGAACACCGTCGATTTAATTATCTCCTTAATTTTAATTTACAATTTAGGAGGTACCAAAGTCTGTATCTACCCTGTTCCAAACAACTATTCCGTTTGATAATTGTTGTATATGAATTTGAGATAGTGAAGTAGCTTACAGAACAAATATTTTGCAAAAAAATCTACTGGTGAATATTCAGATAGTAGTATAACTTTATTTAAATTTTGGACAAATTTTTGGAATGAACTTAAAAGAACTTAAAGCCTTTAGAGTCAAAGGAAAATATTTACAGCTTAACTAAAGTGAATGTATCCAATTTTGAGCTCTATCACTCTCCGCGAAATTCCCAAATAATGAAACGATTAACAATGTATCATGCAATATTTCTTAATCCCACTAAGCAGCACGTACCAAAGAGATTTCTGTAGAACAAAGCCGCATATGTAAAGAGAATGCTTAATGAAATTAACTACTAATCTGCGTGGTATAGTGGAAAACCTCGAAAATATGAAACAGAACCGATTTTTAGCTTATGGAGTGGAAGTATTAAAAGATAATTACAGTTTTGTTGTTGAAAATATAAAATCATGCCTCGAAATCACGAAGTAGAAATATTGTTAATTTTATTTTACCCATCTTTCGATTAAAAAATATTAAAATTAACTTATATACTTTGACTGAAATATGAAATTATATTTTTTTAAATGCTGTTAACTTTTAACCAAAAACGAATCGGATCTTTGTTCATATAAGAACAAAGGTTTTACAATTAACCCACCTACCATCTGTCAAAGTTTGTCATAGACCTTGTAGAACACCCTGTACATTTTTGTAAATCATATCAAACGAGGACAAGTTGAAAAATATTCCTCCTGGGTATATTAATACGGCTGTACTACAAAACCTTTTTATTCACCCTCAAATGCCTTACAAAGGACGTGTACTTAATTTTTTGTGACACTGACATCGCAAAAAAACTGATACTCCGATATTACTTCACTTTTCATTACATCTTTCCTTTCGCGTCGGTGATTTTCCTGTCCCATCCGAGAAAATGTACAGAATTACTCATATCTATGCACGTCATTCACTTCAATAAATGCTGACATATATATGACAACGTCGAAGATGATCCACGGAGATTTCGTATAGAGCCGTTGGAAGTAATGGGATGCTCAAGGCGCACCAGGTTAATCTAAGATTTGATGAAATATGTCATGCGCTTACATTTATTACGCAGTTCACAAAAGATTTACTTTAATAAAAGGAAAAATTAAGGACGTTTTGACACTTTAACTATTGTTTAACTGCTCTTAAATACAAATAATGGACATTAATTTTTAAGAGTTTTTTCTCTCTCCCTCTTTAGAAGTTCTGTTCATAAATTCTTTGATAAAATCAGCGGTAAGACCGCTTTTATCTAAACTGGTCGAGTTTACCCTTCGATTTAATACAAAATAATATACAGGGTGTCCCTGAAAAGAATAGACAACGCTTGACCAGAGGTTCCTTGGATGAAAATAAGACTATTTAGCCTAACTTGACGTCAGAATTTATATTTTTAAAAATAAACACTATTTTAGAATATTTTTTGCCTCTTACAAAATTTTATTCGTCGATAATACAAATATTAAAAATATGTAGTTACTTTTTTTTAATGTGACGTTTTTTCATTATTATTCCCTGCTTTGAAGCTGTAGTTATAAATTATTTTTTACAAATCGGAATTTTTGTCTGTGTATTTAATGTATAAAAATGCCAATTTTACTCGAAATCCATAAACGATATCAAAATTTTGTAAGGGCAAAAAAATCTTCTAAAATAGTACTTATTTTTTAAAATATAAATTTTGACCTCACTGGTGTACACACAAAAAAATTACGGGATAGCCAGTGGCACACAGGCACTAGAAAGAGAGCATCCTATATATGTATTATCACCAAATGTTTTATTTACGTTGCCCTTATATAAAAAAATATGTGTACCAAATTTGAAGTTTCTAAGAAAAATAGTTTTCAAATTATTTGGAAAAAACTAGGTTATCTATTCTATATGTGGAAGGCTATATCTCAGTAGGCGTGCACTTTTGTATATAAGTAAGTTAAGCTAAATAGTATTATTTTCATCCAAGGAACCTGTGGTCAAGCGTTGTCCATCCTTTTCAGGAACAGGGAATATTTCATATTCCCGATTATAGCATTTTTTTTTGTTTATCAGCCCATGCCAGTCCACTAACTTTTAAAATAAAAGAGAATAGACACTGACCTCGGCAGCAATATAGGCAGGGATGACGCTAAGTAGTAGCTGTTCCTGTTGCTCTTTTTCGCACTCTAGCTTCACTCTGGATTCGATGCACGTCCTAGTCCCTACGAAGGTGTGGCGATGTGCTTCTTCCGTCATATGCCTGTAGTAGAGACCGGTACAGCTTGCGGCAATAAGCATTACTGACTCCGGAACCAACTGAAAAAAAATATTTGTAATTCGGTTATTAAAGTTAAGGGGCGCTTAAAATGTGGAAAAAGTATTAATTTTGAAAAAAAAAAAATTTGCTGGGCGATATTCTGTATTCTGGCGAATGCGCCAGGAATTAGAACTATTAAGAAAAAACTATACTTTAGATAGTCCAGTAAGAACTTTCTGAACTATTTAACATAAGAGAAGGTAAAGAAGTTTTTGTTGATATAATTAATGAGTAAAACTTTAGGAAAATAACTGCGTTACAAATTAAATACTACGGTTTGTTAACTTTGCCTAAAAGTATTGAGGATCAGTTATTTCACAGAAAATTAATAAAATAAGAGAGTTTGCTGTGACATGCATACATACTAGTGCACCTATCTTTCATTAAAAATCTAATTTGTTGTCATATCTTCCTTAACTGCTCCTCATTTACTGATTTATATCCTCACAGTGTTATCGCTAATACCAGCAGCGTAGTTTATTCGCCATATAATAAATAAACGCCTACATCCCGATCTGACTTAAATAGCGATCTGAAAATCATTGTGCTATGCCGCGTCTTCGCTAGAAGCAAAATAAACTTGTTTGTTGCTCTCTAGGAAATATAATCATTTGTAAATATTTTGAAAATACAGATTCATATATACTCCTGTCGCCTACATAAAAATTATTTGCTCTCCCGGCCATCGACGTATAACAAGGGCCTTCTGCGATTATGAGATATGTTTATGGGAGTACAACCAAGCCATAACGCAGACCTTAATGTCCTCATTTATTGCCGACATAATGGACTCAATAAATTTTAGTACTCTTGTTGGATATTCCAGTCGGGGTTTTTGGGAGCGTTATAACGACTTCATTAGTAGTTCTACTAAATAAGTAAAAAATAATCTATATTTATATAGGCAGCGGTATTCAAACTGTGTTCTGCGGAGCCCTGGGGTTCCCCACAACCTCTCTGGGGGTTCCACGATGAGTAAAAAAATTTTGAAATTAACAATATCGATACTATAAAATTTAAAAAAATGTACACTCTTACTTAAAATTAGTATTTATAAATATATTATACATATAATCAGTAAAAAATGTGTTGGATATTTTTTTTAGGTTAGGGGGGGTTCCTCAATAAAAGTCGAAAGGTTGGCCCGGTTCCGCAAGTCGTAAAAGTTTGAAAGTTGCTGATAGATAGCATACACAAGTAACTCTCTGCAAGTATTAATTTGTAAGATTGTAACAGAAAACTTATCAAGAAGTTGAACGTCTAAAAGTACAATATGGTAGTCAAAATATGTGAAATTAAAATATACAAAACTAACACTTTTAAAAAAACTTTACCTACTATGTAGGCCAGGAAATATAGAGTTGGACGCGATTTTTTGTTTCGGCAAGCTGAATTTATCACTGTAGATGCTAAATATTATGTACAATAACATATTAGTTTCCAAAGTCAAAAAAATGAGGGGGAATTTGTTTACAGGATGGTTAATTGTATAATTTTTACGTAAATTCACGTTTTTCGCTTATAACTTTTTTCCGCTCATTTCCACTAGAAAATAGTTAAGTACTTTTTTTCGTCTTCAAAATATCTACAAAACTAGCCCTCGAGCGTCAAAAAATAATGATTAGATCAAAAGTTATAAACAGAAAAAGTTTATTTATGACTTGAATTAATCATTTATAAACTGCGTTATTATTACCAGAACGTTTTAGCATCACATCCTTTCATTCCTTATCGCTGTCTAATAGCTCACACGAAATCTGGAATCGGTAAGTTGAATAGTCTACAAGTTATGGCCTTATAAACAAATTAACTAATTATTATTCTGGACGATCCCGAGCATCTTCCACAATCGCACTGTTTTTTTTTTCGTGGCAGATTTCATAGTAATACATTGAAATCTATCATTTATTTTTAAATTTCAAATTAGCAACATTTAAAGTTTTTTATTTTTTAGCCTTAGTTGCAAAATGAAATATACGACGCACGTGCGTCATATAGTTATATTATTACATATTCGGAAAACTTATAAAAAGAGCTTTATGTTAAAAAAAATCGTCAAGATTCGTTGAAAACGGAGTTACAGACTGTCAAATATATTATTTTTAAGCGAATTTCGCTTTCTTAACGGCAGGACTATGAATATTATCGTCATTTTCTTCCGACTCGCTGTCGTTCGCTTCCACCACCCTTCCGCCGCGCCACGGCTCGCCGAAAAATCAAGCAACCCTTTGACCTTTAACAATATTTCATATGCACTTAACATACTTCCACAAATAAAATATTTTTATCTGGGAAAGTACTCGGGTTGCCGTTTATGACAGTATTTTTGCCGTTGCCAACCTAATTTGTTTAACAATAGGCGCGAAATGGTCATTTCCCAGCTCTTTTGCATGGCCTATAAGTTCTTTATATAAGAGGTGGTTCACAGGAGAATGAAAAAGTTCAGTGAAGAAGAGTATGAAAAATATTGCGTCCCATTATTAAAGATTTAAAAATTGCAGTGTTGAATTAAAGAAAACGCATTTTTGTTTATTTCTGACCATGTATATGCCAACGAGGCTACACTTTCAACAAAAATTCTTCCTCTCTACCTCTCTCTCTGGGATCACTTTGTTGCGTAAGACTGTGTATCGCTGTTTAATAAATGTAGCAAACAGCTTCGGTAGGTCTCTTGTATCTCGAGACGATTAAGCGGGGAACAATTGCCAGTTCGTAAAGGGCATAATCCCGAATCCGTCTTGGAGAAGGTAATTAATATGATGAAACAGGGAACCAGAAAACTTTGACTTCCTGGAGCACCCTCTTTGAGGTGAAGTTTATTACTCCTCGCAACGTTTGAAGATGAGTTGAAATTTCGACAAAAAGGTAACATATACGTGGTTATAACTTCTAAAATGTATGTGGGTATAATGGAAATGCTACTTTTTCAAGGGTCGCACGCATTTTATTGAAGATACAGGTTTTATACCAGGGATAGAATAAGTATTTACTAGAAAAGTTACAGCATGTCTCTAAAGTAAGACTTTAAAGGCAAATTGCATTATATCCGAGATATAAACCCACATTTTTTTGAAAAATGAGTCACTTGAATTTAAAGTGCCAGAAACTCTTTCTTGCACGAATTACAATATTTTTCATACAATCGTCTCTTAGATCTATTTGTAAAAAAATAATTCATTCTAACTAGCTGTCAACATATCGGAGTATAAAATATTGCCAATAATATTATGTGTCAAATAATTTCATTTTTTTTTATTTCCAAACTAAAATGTAAATTTTCTCAGTTCATGATGATAAATTCTAAATAGATGTAACTGTACAGCTTCAGTCACTGCAACTGTATGTTAAAAAAGTCAAATAATATTACATTTTATAAATGTTTTGGAATGTCTATTAAAAGAGAACTTCTCCATTATTCAAATTCAAATCAGATTCATATTATACCATTAATAAATCAATTTAATGAGAAAAGCGATGTAGAATAAATAATTCAATGAACATTTCAACACATAAAAGAGGCGATAGTTCAGGCCAATATCATAAAGTCGAATATTTTCATCCCGGCACTAGAAAATTCCCATATTTTATTTAAATTTTTATACAGGCAATAAACTAAAATACGTTAAGCCGTTTGATGTATTCAACGGGAAATATTGTGGATATAAGTCACGTAAGCAATACAGTTTTTGTTGAGCCACTGCCTGAAATGTGTGCGCATAAGGGCATATTTTCAGCCATTCCCGATAAATGATGTATAGTTTTTTTTCTCCCTTAATATGCTGAATAACTGAATAAATAATATAAACGCAGACATTTTTTTCAACACAGACTAATGTGTAGAGCTAATTCTATTACTTGTAGTTTAAAGTATGTAGATATATAAATTAATATGTATTTTCAGGAAAAAATATCCACAGTATTCTGAAATAATTATTACATTAAATTAAAAAATATTTACAAGTTGCTGAAAGATGATCATGAGATACTTGTTTTTGTCTCATGTCTAGTGTCAGTTTTACAAAATATATCAGCTCTGTATCAAAATTATAAATATAACATTATTATAAAATTTGACAGTACTGAATATTTAGAAATATAGTATTTGATTAATTTACTTACAGTTGCATTTTAATTTACTTCGGCCAAATTAAGGTACAGAGAAAATTCATTTTCTTTGCTCTTAATGAATCCGTTGCGGTACAATTAATTTTTAGTTGCTTACAGAATTAAATTAAACTGACATCGCTCGCAGTTTCATGGTGTCCTTATAAATTTTACCGTTTTACAAACTGAAATTTAGGAAAAAAATATTTTGAATATAAATTTTTCTAAAAGTTTCATTTTACCATCAATGAATCAGTTGTAAAATAGTAAAGCACTTTAAATCTTAAATATCAGCACACAAATTCTTTAGCAATTCTGTGAATAATTTTGTAAAAATTTAACTATAATAGCTCATCGTCAGTTACATGAAAAACTTGGTAGCGTAGAACATTTTACTTAGTTCCAAGAAGGATTAATGTTGCTGAAATATATGTTTATTAATTTTTAGATCTTTTAACTGCAAAACTTTTCAGTCCTCCATAAACTTAATTTTAAAACTACGAAAAACAAATCTTCGAACTTCCATAAAATTCTAGCATATTGGCTTCCGTCGACTCTTAAAATAGTAGTAAAAGTTTTATTTGTGTATCGTATATATGTATACTGTATATATACGATACGATATATACAGGCTGTCCCGTTTTATAGGTGTATACAGATCATTAATAAGAGCAAAGATTTGTTATTAAAAGTAGCCTAATGCCGCCCATATATTAAAATTATAACTAAAAATTTATACAAATTTAAAAACGTACTGTAGTATAATTTATTTATTTACTTCTTTCAAATCATTCCATTTTTTTATTAATTTCAAAAAAGAGCAATTTTAAAAAAAAATTTACTACAAGTTGTATACGTGTTACGTGTTATTAGATTTCAGGTAAAAAATTAGTCAATAATTTTTTATCAATATTAATAAAATGATCAGTCAATACAGTAACATTGAATTCATGGACATGGCGGTAATATATGGAGTTTTTTATTAAAACTTAGTTACATATCTTTATGTCTAGCGATTTATATGAACATTTGCAAACAAACCCAGTCAACATATCGATGGAATCAGCGGTTCCAAAAATGTTTTTTCGTATCATTGTAATAATTCAGTGCCCTCCAAATTATTGTTTCTATCACATTTAATGCTTGTAGTGTTCGGTGATTTCTTAGTATTTTGCTTAACATTAAAAAAAAATATATGAACTGGAATATTGGGCTCGTTTGAAAAAAAAGTAATGCCTTTACGCTGAAGTAATAAAAGTAATAGGCGACATGTATTATCATATTCTTACCTGCAAGTAGTAAGCATGTGGCCCAGCGTTGATCCTGTAGGCTACAGAGACGGACAAGTGAGCCACAGTGACTATAACAGCCAGCGCTAGAGCCACCGACCTGGACAGCGGCAGCATGGTGTGGATGGCGATCAAGAGGGCAAACAGAGGTAGAGGAGCGTGTCGTCCCGCAAGCAGCAGCATCGCTGTTGAGACGGTGACGGTGACCACGAGCGACGAAAGTAGCGCCCATGCTTCCGATTCCAGCACCACCGGAAACTGGGAGGCCAACAGCACGAACACCAGAGTGAAGGCGAGGATGGAGAGAACAACCACGGGGAGGATGCTCTTGTTGAGGTCCTGAAACAATGGATAGATCCTTTTATTTTTTTTTCTTTTTCCAGCTAATTATAGTATATTACATTTATTACCAATCCCTTGTTGTATGAGAGGCCACTATCAAAAATCGACATGCTTTCGAATTCCCAACTCGAAGTAATTTAGAGGACAGGACTTTTTCGGAACATTTGGCACGACTAACGATAGCCAGAGATAACCAGGAACAATTGGATTGCCATGTGAGCAAAGCAGAGAGAGCGTTGAAGTTTGTAAGCAACTTTCGAATTGCAGGCATTGCATATGGTGTATATTGACGTATTATTTATGTTCGTATATTCGATTAATACACATTTCTCTGATTTTTACCTATTTTTGGTGTCATACCAGTCGTGTTCATATCTAAATACAATATTCTGCGATTATAGATACGAGAAGATGCTACAGAGAGTAAGAACGATTCGATTCACAATAAGAAAATATTTTCCAGTAAAATCTGCATATTTTCAAGCAAAACCTACTCATAATAGACGGTTCTTATTCAAGGGCGTAAATCCTAAAAACCAGATTTAAGTATCGAAAAATGTCAACACATCTCAAGATTTAAGCCCGTGAATAGGGTTGGGAAGGATTTTCCATTCCTTTACGTCTTGTTTGGCGCGTGATCCTGTGCTGGGATTACTAATCCTCTTACCGATCATTCCCCACAGTAATAGAGATCAATATCGCCAATAAACTAAGCTAGTGGTTGAATACTCTTGAAAGTGTACTAAGTTCCTATAAGTAACAATAACTGTATATGGAGTTGAGAATAAATTTCAACCTATAACACAAAATTTGCAAAAGTTCTATTTTTTTCGTGGATCTTTTTCACTGGCCAACTTCAGTTTTAATTAGTAAATATTAATCACAGCCCACTAAAGAGTGATCAAATAGAAAGCGGATTTACGTTATTAAATGGAATAGTATTCATTTTCCATAGTTTCATAACCTCACAAAATAGCATCACTGCAATTGGCTTGACAACTTTAGCCTTGTTCGTTGACTGCTGCTTCAGGAACGTAATGTCATTTTCTTACGACACCTATCTTCCAAGGTTGAAAAAAAAACTTTAAAAAAGAACAAGTTATATTTAAAGATATATATAAAAACGTAAAACTATATCTTAATTTGTTTAATGTCACCGAAGAAAAGTTTTCAAATATTTATTCAGTACGTCTTTTATTTGATCATTTCACGATTTTGTGTATTTACACAACGAATTATACACAATATAAAAATAACAGATAACAAAATTATAGAGAAATGTTTCTTACGCATAACATTAGGTAACAATGCTGCAATGAAATAGGCAAATTATTTATTAAACGTTATTAAACCTATATTTGAAATTCTGACCATATTAGAAATAGTAAAACTAACCATTAGAACATTTAACATTTCTATTCCAATGATTCTTTATTCTCAAGAAAAGAACACAAGAGTTTATTTAATTAATTATTTTAACAACAAATTAAACAGAATTAATGACTTCGCATTAATAATAATTATTATTCCAAGCCAAATGTAAATAGTTATGTGTACTTATAGATATTACATTTTATGCAATATCACAAAACTTAGACGATGGCGATTACATGCGTGTGTACCAAATGTAAATAAATTTGTGATACTGTGACATCAAAATTAATTAACTATTTATTAAGTAATGATATTGACCGAAACAACTATTAGTAGATTTCTATGCGATATAATAAAAAATTTATAAAACTAATAAAAACTGGTATAAGAAAGTTAAATAGAAAATGTGCATTTAGAAATCTAAATTAATATTTTGAACGAAAAAAAACTTTTTTAATACCCTTCCTATTTTCAAGGTGCTTTGTGCTCAAAAATTCCAATATTCCAATGGAATTCATGAAGTCGAATTATTTAGCAGGGAACAGCCTAATAGCTATGCTGAAATTGCCTGGAAATGCTGTTATATACAAACTCGCTTGTAACTGATTACTGTCTATTAGCAACTCAGATTTGGAAATTAATTTTCCGTATAGGCGTATAGAGGTGTTCATCCAGAAAAAAATACTTTCCAATTTTTGCACGATCTACGTTACATCTACATTCGTATATTAAGTATTTGGTCTACTACATGTTTTACAAATAGCTGTACGCAATACCCTATCTAATATGTCTATCGAATCCTTTTTGTTATAAAAAAAGGATTCGATAGGAAGTACTGTTCAATCATTTAGGATAGTAGAACGACACTTTAATCAGATGGACCTCCAATGTACTTTTTTAGATATTATTATGAGAAGTTAATTAAATGAATTTTTAGACCTGTATAATTTAGCTTATCTAGTACACAGTCACAACTTATACATACTTATTTTTGAACAATAATCTACCAATCGGATATATACAGTATTGGATAGGCAGCAACACCGCTACCGTATGCTACGCCGATGTTTTCTTTTCTATTTTTTTACATGAACCAATGAATAGGTAATGGTTGTTGCCACATCTGTATCCGACAAAGACAATGCGTATTTTATCTATGTATGACCCTGAAATATTTTAAATATTAACAATGTACGATAATAATTTCATGGAAAAATAACAATACGAAGTTAATCTTCTTCTAAAATTATAATTCCAGTTAAAATACTTTAACTTTTTTTTGTATATATTCATCAAACTCGGAGAGCTTTATCAGTTTTATATAATTTGTTACAAAGAGAATTTCTTCATAACTGGAATATACCAACTGGTAAGTGAAAATAACATTTTTTATACCTAGACCAAAGTAGATAAATGTTATGGAATCATATAATGTTCGAAATCAAATCTAAATGTTGACATTTATGTGACAAATACTAAATACACAATAGATGTCATTTGTATTCATATAATTTTGACATAGGTATGTCCAATTAAGTCAGAGCAATTTCTAAACATCATAATATACCATATAGTAGTTATAATAATGCCGCTGAATAATTGTTGCCAAATATGAAAGATATAACAAATATCCTGTAAAACCGTATTATTTAACGTAAGTACATCCTCTGGGTCATACTTTAAAATTATTTTAATGGTACTCTAAACCTAAATTTCCACTATTTGAACACATAATTTAAAAAATTCCATCCAACTTTCGTTACTGCCACATCAGATAATTATTATATTATATTAAACTTACTTATAAAGTGAAGTTACATTAGTAACATAATTCATTATCATCATTTTCGTTCAATGTGAAAATGTAGGTTTGGTTAAATTGGCTGAAATTGTGGTAAGTTGTTGATTTTCTGATACTGACCAAAAGTCTCCACAATACCTGGGTCCGAAAATCAATTATTTCCAACCTATAGTTAGTTCAGCTAATGAAAAGTATATAATTAGGATATTGCAATAAAAACAGTTACTTTTGTGAAATGTTTATAGAAAAAAATTGATCGACGACTCCGAAAAGTTAGTAATTAACATTTTTGGCAGTACCAAATTCCAAATACAGTAACCAACGCTGGCAAAATAGATATTGAAATAGGTACTTGAAATATTCAAAAAGTGACAAAAACGAATTAATCTAAATCGTTTAAAAATATATTATATTATTAGCTTTCACATTTTGTAAAGCTAGTCCAAACAAATTAAATAATATAAAAAGTTTATATCTTTAAAATAATCTGAATCAACAAATTAAATTTACTTTTAATTAATTTAACTATTCGCTTTTTCTACTTTTTTACTTTTTGCTGTTACTTTTACTTTGACCACTTTTTACTTTTTTACTTATTTTCTTACCTTAACCACACGTTCTAATTGTGCCACTTTAGAAAAAAAATCTTTTTTTTTTTAAGATCGTCAAATTCGATATACCTAGTTAATAAAACGATGAGTTCGGGAGTGGAAAATCTAACATTAACCCCAGTACAGCAGTTTTACAACAATTCCAAAATATTCATTACCGGTGGTACAGGATTTTTCGGCAAAATTCTATTAGAAAAACTGCTGCGTTCTTGTCCAAATGTTTCTACGATTTATATTTTAATAAGACAAAAGAAGGGAAAGGATACGAAAACTAGAGCGAGAGAAATTCTGGACGATGTACCCTTTCAGAGGCTAAAGGCAGAACGAAAAAACTTTGGAGACAACGTCGTGGGAATAGAGGGAGATTGCAATTTACCAAATTTGGGAATGAGCTTACAAGACATTGAAATTCTGAAAAAAGAGGTAGGTGCCAATAAATAAATAATATTAAATTATATTTTGAGAAATATTTAATAAACAAAATAAAATCATGGCAGAGATGGTAAAATTTCCAAAAACATAAAGGGAATGTCAAATGTGGTGCCTGACAGTGATTGGAGATCAAATTAATGCAAATTATGCAATAACTACTAAGGAATTAAATCAATTAAAATACTAGCTTAGTTTCTTTTTGTCTAAATATTAATGGCTAAAATTAAATTAGTATCAGAAAGATTTCACTTTTGAACACTTCACAAAATATCTTTTTGAAATAAACTGTTTTATTTGAAAAATAAAATAACACAGTGTTAGTAGGAGGTATTCTATCCTTAATAATAAAGTTGTTACTAATATCTTAAAATTTAGCATTTACTTATAGGTGAATATAATATTCCATATGGCAGCCACACTGAACTTCACGGAGAAGCTGAAAACAGCCACATTTACTAACATAAGAGCTACCAGGGACATCATCACCCTCGCGCACGAGATGCCCAATCTTAAAGTTCTAATGCACGTATCCACGGCTTACTCAAATTGCATCCATAAAGTCATCGAGGAGAAAATTTACCCACCAGCATTCGACGGTAAAACGCTGATCACGATGACAGAGAAACTACCAGATGAAATTTTTGATAAAATTTCTGAAATGTACGTTTTAACTGTTTTTGTCTTTCATTCTGTTACGTCCAGTATATTGCAGGTTAGTAGGGGACTATCCTAATACTTATACATTTACCAAGCAAATTGCGGAAGGAATTGTTGAAGAAGAAGGTTTCGATCTACCCGTTGGAATACATAGGCCCGGCATAGGTAAGAAAAATTGAAAGAAGGAAGTTGGAAGCGTATTAGGTGCGTTATTCGAGGTTACATTAACAGTTAAATCAGTTACTTTAGTGTCTATAAATCTATTAAACAAACCGATCAGCAGCACCGACAACATCAGCAACAACAACAGCAGCAGCAGCAAAAATAACAATACCATCAAATAGAGCAACATCAAGAACAACAACAATAGAAACAGCAACAACAACAATAACCACCAACAGCAACAGCAACGACAATAGCAGCAACAATAACAACGACGGCATCAGCAACAACACTACAACAACAATAACAACAGCAACATTAACATCAACAACAACAACAGCAGCAACAACAGCAGCACCTACATCAACAACAATCTATTCAAGATACACCCCATGCACTATTTCAACAAAGGTTTACAGACTGTATTTGCTAGTAACTATACAGACTACTAGTAACTACTTAGACTAACTATACAGGTAATCCCAAGTGAGGAAGCGTTATTGGAGCAGCAAACTTGGAATCCTTTATTCCTTCCTAGGAAGAACGCGATTTCGAGTAACAATTATTTAAGAAACTTAACGATATAATTAGCCTGTGTCATTGTGAGAGCATGTTGAACTACGATACGATTACAGTTGCTGCTTTTGTTGCTGTTAATGATAATGTTAGTGTTACTGTTGTTGAAGATGTTTTTATATTTATTTTGTGACTGATAGTCCCTTAAGATCATTGACGTAGATAGATGAAACTTGGGTTAGTGATTTACTTAATTATAACTTGCTGAACTGGCACACACATCTGCCAATCAGTGGCGGAGATATGGGGAAATTGCAGCTACTAAGACCCCCAGAAGTTCGGCAAATTGTTTTGGAAATTGGATAAGTATTTCCAACAAAAATGATATCTTCCCTTTTGTTCGAAGAATCCGCTATTTTTGAGTTATTATTTTAAATGTTTCCCAGTACCTCCGCCACTGGTTAACAGACGTATGTACGAACTCAGTAAATTATTGTCCATAATTCGCTAAGTCATTAGCCCAAATTATATCAGTTAAATTTGATATTTTTTACATTTCAATGATCCTATCCCTCTTTATATGAACCGTTTTGTTTGTGAGAATTTACCATTAAAGTTTGGCAGTATATTATGTAATTAACACCCTGTAAAAACAACTGGCAACTGGTTGTAGGTGAACTCCATTCTTGAATATATATTTTTCTCTGCTTTTTGTCAACGAGTCTTTGGAATTAAATTAAAATTGTTTCAGCTGTCTCCACCTACAGGGAGCCGATTAAATCCTGGATTAACAATACGTATGCCGCAACCGGCATGGTAACGTACGCTGGGCTAGGTATGATCAGAATGGCGCACGGTAGTACCACGTCGAACAGCAACGTGGTACCCGTAGATATGTGCATGAATTCATTGATAGCCGCTGCCTGGGATGTGGGCACGACTTACCAAACGAATATGGCACAGAAAAAGGAACGCGAGATACCGGTGTACCACTTTGAAAGCAACAGTGACAAGGTAATAAGCGTTTTTACTTTGTTTTAAGAGTATTGAGCTATTTCAAATAAATTCAAAAATATTTATAAAAAATATAACAATGTGTCAGCTTGATGTTTATCCTGATACGTACTAATAGACTGTGAGCTAGCACACATCACTATTTGTCTGGTATCTCGGGTACTTAAAATTAATACCCATATTTCTTGTAACAAAAAATTTGCAAGACAAATTGCAAAATGGAAAAATTGTGCCAGACAAAAGAAAATTCGTAAAAACATATTAAAGTTTAAATGATTTATTTTTGTCTGACATTTTTTGAATTTCAATTAGAAATACTCGTAAAAACACAATATACAAATGCCAGACAAGTTGAGATGTTCGAAAATGTATAAATGAATTGGAAAGTTACAAAAAAATTAATGAAAACTTGGTTTTCTTTTTTTTCTAATTTAAACGATTTATTTTTGTCTGGCATTTTGCATTACTATTGAAAATACATGTTTATACTTCAGGTTAAAACGCCAGACAAGTTAGGTTGTTCGTATATTAAAAAAAATAAACTAAATTAAATTAAATAGTGAAACCTTTAATGTCTTTTTTTTGTCTGACAATTCGTTTTTTAATAAAAAATACGCTTACAAACTCAAATTAAAAATTCCAGACAAGTTCAGCTGTTCGAAAATATATAAATATATAAACAAAATTGTAAATAACTACAATTTCTCATTTTTTCCACTATTTCCCTTTATATTATAAGCCGTAATTACTCGAGAAACACACTCAAGATACTATTTCCGACGTAAAATTTCCTACTGAATCTGATGCTGTCAACGAAAGTGCCTTACCTAGCCAAGAAAAGCTGGAAAATAGGAAATACCTTCGTAAATTTAAAAAATTCAAATTTAAAATCATATTCGAATTAAGAAATAAAATTGCAGGAAAATATAATTCAAAACATGAATTTTAAAAGAATAAAAGTGATTATATCAAAAGTTTTTAATGTATTTTTTACTAAAAAACGAGTTGTCAGACAAAAAAAGACACTGAAGTTTTCACAAATTTTTTTAAAACTATTTAATTTAATTATTTTTTTTAATTTTCGAACAACCCAACTTTAAATCCGACGTTTTAAACCTGAAGTATAAATATGTATTTCCAATAGAAAAAGAAAACCAATTCTCGTTAATTTTTTTGTAACTTTTTAATTCATTTATACATTTTTGAACAACTCAACTTGTCTGGCATTTGTATGTTGTGTTTATACACGCATTTCTAATTGAGATGCAAAATGCCAGACAAAAAAAATTATTGAAATTTTTATAAATTTTTTCACGCCGTTTTTATTTATTTATAAATTTCCGAACCGGCCAATTTGTCTGGCATTGAAAAATTAATAACATTTTATAATACCACAAACACAATGGCCCTCTTTTTTGTACATTAAGATCATTTAAAAATGTTAAAAATTTTCACATAATTTTCCGCAGATATACTCGACTCCGAGCATTGGAAACCGTCTGGCAATTTATTTTTATCATTTTCATAACAAAAACTTTCATTGTTTCGATTGCCAAACAAAAAGTAAACAATGAATTTTTTTTTCTTCTTGTAAGTTCACCCCTATGAACCACCCTTTCGGCTATTTAAAACCGTCTGGCATTTGAAAATTGTTAGACACTTATTAATGTCTATTTTTGCATCAACTGCCGGACACATTAAGATGAGTGAAAAACTATTTATTTTATGCAAAAAGAAATTAATTTTCCAACCTTTTTCAGACCCTTTGCCAGACATTTTTCGATGACGCCACACCCATGTGCGCTACCTCACGGTCTATAAATCATCAAAGCTCAGCAAATAAAATACAGGGTCTCTAATATGTACGGAAACGGTCGTTTAAAAAATTAAAATAAATATCCATAATATCCATAATTTGGGGCTCTTTTTCTTTTATAAATTTGAGAGTAGTAAAAAGTTACTTTCAATGTTCGATATCTCTAAAACGATACCAATTTTGTTTAGAATTTCGAGAAAAATTGGAGTATGGAATAATATACGCTGTGTTCCATTAAAAAAAGAGCAACTTTGCTTCGTCATAAGTTTTTGTCTAATCCTGTATACTTAATTTTACTTTATTGCAACAGATTTTTCGATAGCTATCTTACTTTAGGATATAATCGACCGTTCCCATACGTATGAAAAATATCACATGAATCCTTTTATTTTTCAGCCAATAAAATGGGGGTCATTTTTCGAAAAATCCTTGCGCTATGGATCAGAAGCTCCAAGTTCAAAATCCGTCTGGTTCCATAGTTTCCATATATACAGTAACTTATACTTATACAATATTTTAGCGTTTATGGTCCATACCCTGCCAGCCTTCCTTTCAGATTTAGTATGTTTATCTATAGGAAAACCACCAACGTACGTATCTTTTCCCTTTTCTAATCATTGACAGCTAACACTAATGCCTTGCCGTCGCTATAACGCATTAAAAATGAAAAAATAATTGTTGCATCTTCATCGCTATAATAAATTTCAAAATATATTTCATTAATAACGAATTCATAATCTGTTCAGTATATCATTTTTTTAGAATGATGAAAATGTACATGAAACTCCACAAATTTGCCGATGTGCTGTCGTACTTCGGCAACAGAGAGTGGACATATAAATCCAATAACGTAAGAAAATTGTTAGATAAGATGTCCGACAAAGACAGAGAGATATTCTTTGCTGATCTGCGACAAGTGGACTGGAACGAGTTTTTAAAAACCTATTTTTATGGAATTAGATTGTACGTTCTCAATGATCCTAAAGAGACTATTCCCGAGGCAAAGATAAAATGGAGAAGGTAAGCACTTGTTATATTTCTATGTAAAACCAACACCAAGTAAATATTCAAAATGAAATTGGCAATTTTGTATTGTGCAAGATATTGACCAATTTTTCGTATTTTTTGTTCTGTATTTCCTCTTTGACTGGAAATTATTTACTTCGTGATGTTTTGCAACGAAAAAAATCAAGGGAATTATTACCCCATTGATGTTTTCTCAAAATACCGGAAAATGTTTACTTTGTAGATTGTACTGGGCCCATAAGGTTACTACCCTTGCAATTAGTCTTCCTTTGCTATGGACTTTATGGTATTTGTTTAAATAAAAAAATATATTTATAGGCAAAAAGTATTTTGTATTATATTTATTTGTTCAAAATATATTATTTTGTAATTGTAGCATTAAAATATCTATTAAAGTTTTGTTTTTCGTAATATATTTTTTTAATAATTTTACGTCTTTTATGTAATACCCTAACCAAAAATTCCATATCTAAACAGATTTTAGGAAGGCATTAAAATAAAGTTTTAGTGAGTGAATCGCCCATAAATCAAGCTGCCATTATGATCAGGTGGAAAAATGGTCAGGCGGGTCGAACACGAGGTTTGTTTAAAGGTCTTACCGGTCTATTTGAAACTGTCACTGGCGGCATACACAATGAATTACAGGCAGTGGATGCTGAGGGTTATCGCACCACGTTTCCCAATAACAAAAACAATAAAATTAACAGATTTTAAAATTGAAATCTTCGTGAAAACGTAAAAGTGTCAAAGGTATCATTTCAAGCTATACAATACCTCCAGACAAAGGCCTTGAAAAACTTTGGAAATTTAATCCTACCTCATAAATACTCTTTTTTATATTCACAACTCATCAATTATTTTACCAGAACTTAAGAACTTTTCCATAATTAAATTAAAAGGTAACACAATTAAACAAGGTATAAGAATTCAGTTCAGTATTGAATTTGAAGCTTTATTCTCAAGACAATTAATTAAGGCCCTTTCCAACGATAGCGTTGTAATGCTTCCGTGGAGGTATCGCTTTCGTTTCTCTTTTAAAGCGAATAATTTTTGCACAGGACAATGTCGACAGAGAGCTCAAAAATATAGACATGGAGATAAAACAAATGGAACTTATTGGCTCTAAACCCACTTGCAACGAAAAATGGAATTTATTTATGATGGAATTTATTTAGGTGGTGAAAATTCTAAATATTTGGAATTATTTAATTTTCGTGGCTGAAAGCATACATAGGTATTGAATTTTCGAAACCGAAACCGAAAAATATTGTGAGTTATTAATTATAGTTATTATACATATTTCCTTTTCTGCTGAAATATGAAATAATATTTCCGCGAAGCTAATTGTATGATAAATGTAATATTTTCATAATTTCTAGTGCTTTTAAATTCCAAACATATTCCTTTATACGTATAAAGATTCGACTTACATTTAACAACATGTCAACAGTATTCCTTTTGTTGGGTGATACGAAGCCAATTAGCAAGTGGATACCTTTGTGTAAACTGAGGAAATGTTTAAATACAAAAACACTTGATACCTTCTTTCCACAAACAAAGGTGAGGAACTCCAGTGTTGCTGCAAAACGCAAATACGGACGAGAAACCATTCTTAAACAAATATAATGAGTATTTAATTGTAATTTACCAGAAAATATTTAAAAAATATAATAACGTAACTCCAAAGTTGGTAAACCTGAATCAGATTTGTGCCTGCTTTAAAATCCTTTTTCTACCGTTACCTCTTGAAAGAAGATATAATTTCAATGAATATAATTCAATAAATATCACAGTTTTATATTTTTCTAATCATACATCTATTTAAATGTTATTATATTACTTACTTGAGCATGCAGTACACAAGTGCTGATCAAGAGGCCGATGCAAGTCACTGTTGCAACAGTCAGGCAGGACAAATAGAGAGAGTGCTTCAAACGGATGCAATATCGATGATAGAGGGTTTCCAGCTCCATACCGTCCACTGAAAATGTAAAAAACCATAGTTATGATTATATTACATATATTATATTNGAAAGCATAGCTATACTTTTGTGTATTTTTAGCAAAGAAAAGGGCTTAATTTAATAACAATACCAAATAAAGTTATAAGAACTGAATATAAGTTGCTCAACGATAAAGACTTCCCATATCGGTATCAATTTTTTGTAACTGAACTATCAATATCTATAATATATAATTCCATACCGTCCACTGAAAATGTAAAAAACCATAGTTATGATTATATTACATATATTATATTATATTATATTATAATGTTGAGTGGAATACGTATTAAATCTATTATACCTATGATCTTAATATAAAAATAAAATACGCTCGTCATATGTCAACCTATATTCATAATTAATTTCCCACACAGTCTTTGAACCTGAACAAAAATTTCAGTATACTAAAGCTTGTAATAGACCCAATACATTTTCCGCCTATTTTAATACCTGATAGAAGCCTCTGGCATAAAATGCAACCGGAACAAATTTTAACGAGAAAGCTGCTGCATTGTGCTTACAAACGTATTGAAATATTATATATACTGCAGTAATTATAACTTCCTGTAGTCGAAGTTTGTTGCAATGCTCAACTAGCTGTTTTATGATCACTGTTATAACTATATAAACGTATGTATTAATTTCAAATAGGTACATAACGCATCGTATATTTGAGCTGGTTTCAAATCAATAGGTGCAGATAATGTTAGATATTTTCACTATAGTTTAAATTTTCTTAGAGAAAGACAATACAATTTTGAAGCTTCTCCTGTTGCGGTTTTGATAATCTGAATGTAAATACGATAAGTTGTCGATATGTTGTAGGTTTAATATAAAACTATTCAAACTATTTCAAATAGGGTTTTGTTCTAATAATTAATGTTAAACATTTTTCTTCGGGATGCTAAATCATAAATGCAGTCTATGTCAATCATTTCATGCTTAAATGCATGTAGATATATGTAAGTAAAATGGGTTTATTTTCTATAGATTGATTTATAAGTATATTAGATGCATTAAATAAACAATTTACTAGCAAATATTATTTCAAGTTTAATTATATCTTACTAGCCAACATATACTCACAGATTATCACTATTATGTACATCTGTAAATAAATTACTATTAATTTAAAGTATACCTATATTAATATGTCCCTGGCACGTCACCAAATCGTTTTTGTAACGTTTTCACACCGAATTAAATTGCATTTTATGGCATATCAACATTCGTATTTCTGGAATAAAATCCCTGTTTACTGTTCTAATTTTATTTAACTGTACAGTTTTAACAACGGTTATACTCACAAATAATGTTACAAATTGATGAAAAACTAATTAGTTTAGTTAATCGCAGAGTATTTAAAAAAACACCTACCTACATACATACAGGGTTTCTAGAGATTAACTTACAATGTTTCAACAGCAAAAAATTATTTCTAAAGCTTGTTTTCCTTACGAAAGCCTCGGCTTCCTTGAAATGTACCAGTAGAAGTTTTCCACAACAGAATATATTTTTTCTTTTCACTAAAGCCGATGGAGTAGACATTGTAGGCACTCCCAGAAGGATACACACGATTATTGGCGAAAACATAAAAAGCTCTATGGTTGAAATAAAATTGAATAGTTTTATCTAGACCACAGCAATAATTCAATCCCTGGAATTTTATTTGACTTCTGTATACAAATTCAACATATCTATAACAAAGAAAATAAAATGTATTTATCTTTATTAAAAGTATATTCTGTTGTGTTGTCATTACATCGTTTTCAAAATATTTTGTCTCCTAGAAAATATGTAATAAGTTTACTTTAAACCTACATTTATTTGCAGATACAAGATGCTTTATAAGTCGTTATCATTTTTGCTAAAAAATTTAAATGATCTTAACCCCGTAGAACCGAGTGCTGAAACGTTCGTTCTATTAAAAACAAAAGGCGATTGGAATTAATAAAATTGAAAGAACGTTTATAATTACTTTCTTTTAATAATTCAGTTTTCTACTTTTCGATGTAATTATCAGAACCATTGAACTGTATTAATTGAGGTTTAAGAAAAATATGTATAACTCTAATGAAGTTACTGTTAGCTCCACCTTCTTGATGAGAATATAACGTACATAGGTACAGTTCTCCATTACTGCTGAGCCATTTTAATCTGAGAATAATCTAGATATATGATCCATACTAAAGCAATTATAATCACCTGCCATGCTAACCTCTACCAAATATCTAGCGACCCTTTGCAAAACATAATGTTAATTTATCCCAAAGTATACCGCAATGTACCGTAAAACTATTATTCGGCTTTCCTGCAACCGTAAAAGCGATATGGACTTAAGATTGTTATCACGTATTCGACAATAACTACCGGCAACAGCTTGGCTAACAAATGTAGCCCTGTCTAATTAAATACGAATGAAACTTCCCCCGTTCGTGACTATTTCAAGCTGAAATATTGTTACTATTTCATTAACAAAGCAAAATTTTAGGGGGTGAATATTTGAAGTTTGGGAAACAAGTTTATATACACCTTTTCATTTAATTTTGTACTAGGAATATATGCAAAACAGAGAAACATGTTTAATGTATTTTTTCGCATTTTTACCGATAATATCCTATTTTGTTTGTGCTGGTGCAGAGCAATATTAAACTTTTATTAGAATTCCGGGAACTGATATCCCTAAAATTCCGCTAATTTTCCGCATTTGCAAAATAATACTCGGAGATATGTGAAATTTAAGTCCCCTTGTTTGGAAATTTAGACGTAGGCAGAGGCAGATAATGTTGTACATTCGAAAAAACGTGGGTGAAAACGTGCAAATGCTTTCATTACCATATGATGACCGACACAGCCAAAGTACAAAATAAATTATAAAGTTAATGTTGTTTTGCCGAACAGTTTTCGCTTCATAAAGGATAAAAAACATAGTTTTCCAAAGTTTAGTTAACTTTTATTCTATGTAAGTTACGGAATCACTTTAATTACTTTAATTGTTATCCATATTCATGTGAGAATATTTTTGAAGACGTCAATTGTTTTTTTCAGAGAAAGTAAAACATGCATCACTCTTATAAATCTAATATATCTGAAATCGTTGTCAGTAAACATAAGTGTCAAGACATTGATATATTATAGGCGGAAATTCTTATGGCTAATGTTTTATTTGAGTGACATCTTATTTTTTCCTTAATATGTTGCAGGTCTTTCATCAATAAACTGTCGATCAATATTTCATTTTGTTTATGTGCTTGAGTAACTGACTTTTCCCTACTCTATGTTTTTATAACATAGATAAATTGACTTTCAAAAACGTTGGACACGTTGATGCATATTTAAAAAGTAACACGGCGCCTCACAAACACGGTTACCTTTTTTCCGTAAAGTATAAGAAAAAACAAGAATGTTTATGCTGTTTTATAAAATTCTAATATTTCTTGTTCTATTTTATAACAATGTTTAAACAAATATTATTTATCTTAAATAAATGATGCGTTGATGAGAACTACAACAGTACAAAACAAATTTGATTTAATTTGCCAACTGTTCGACCCTCTTCACCCAATCACATAGCTTACTTTCATTCTTTGACGTCAAATGCGAAAGACAGCAGGAAATACGATAGAGCAGGGGCAGAAGAATAAAGGAAATCAAACGCATAGCTATACTTTTGTGTATTTTTAGCAAAGAAAAGGGCTTAATTTAATAACAATATCAAATAGAGTTATAAGAACTGAATATAAGTTGCTCAACGATAAAGACTTCCCATATCGGTATCAATTTTTGTAACTGAACTAGCGTTTTTCTATAATAATAAAAAAGGAATTTAAAGTCAGGTAGTATAATTTTATATTACAAATGATAAAATAATTAGATGTTATCATCAGTACAAATTGGTAATGTTTTCAAAAGCCATGTTGGTAAATTTAACAATAAAGAACTGGTAAATGATTTTGTCAAAATCATATAAAAAATGAAAAAGTCTTTGTAACGAGTTTGAAAGGGGACAACTAAACAAACCAATTTAATTTTAAAGCTGTATTGAATTTTAAGACCATCATTTTAACGTTTATCGATAAATAAGTCTTCTATTTAGATACGATTAAAATATAAAAAAGTTCATGCTTTGCAAAATTTCTATTAAAGTCCTTAAAAGAAAAGGAGAATTTTTATCGGAAGTTATATAAAAACAAAGCGCTTTCCTTAAAGAATCTATGAATGAAAATCTTCGGAACTGAAATATTAGGAAACGGAAGCTGCTTTGTGCTAAGTTCCTGAAGGAGTTTGATACTACATATAATGATGAAGATGTAAGGGTTGGTAAAGAAAAAAAGTATTTTCTTTCATAAAGATAGCATCTATTAAGTTTAGGTAAGAGAAATTGGAAAATTATTATACGGTTGGTTAAGATCTTTCAAAAGTAAGTAATAGTCAACGATTTTCCCTTTAGGACTATCGATTGATTAATGATATTAAAACTCGAACCCAATTAGTAACTTTGCCATCACACCGATGCAATTTTCCAACCCAGCCACTCGCCGTCTGAAGTTTTCCAGATGATTCGTTTTCGCTGCACAACCTACATCTTGGCATCGGAGTTAATGAAGCCCAAAACTCCATAGTGGAGTGGCAAATCAGAAGCGGCCGAGTTAACTCGACTACTGTAACGATGTTGACTGAGTCAGTCCGCCATCTATCCGCCCTTAATTGATTCGAAATTGACCTGGTTTACACTAGGAAGTAAATTGCATCTAGGCATTTCTCAGAGTTTTATATTAGTGTTTACTTTGCAGTATCGTATTTCACACTTTCAAGTGTCAAAGGGGCGTTGATAAAGTTTCGAGCAATTAGGAATATTTATCGAGGAGGCAAAATAAATGGCTATTTTTGCGCCACGATGGCAGACGAGAAGATTTTAAGGGAAAAGTTTAATTGGTCGTTTATTTTATATCAGCGCTTTGATTGCAAGAGTTTT